GGGGTGTACTCAAATATGCTAAGCACTGTAGTACATGCTCAACAAATAGCATTTTGAGTTTTAGAAAAGTGCATTTATAAATAAAATGTACTATTATTATTATTCAATATTTTTGCTTTAAATCATCTAAATCCCATTGTTGGTTTGTTGGCAAAAGCCTCTAAAGACACCTGCCTTTGACAGTAAAAGCTGCTATGTTACGAGAACCAATCAAAAGATGCATGTTTTCAGTGTAGTGGCACACTGATGAGCTTTTTTTTTTTCAAATTTAAATTTAGATTTTAGTGTTTAGCGCTTTTAGAGTTCAGTGAACTGGATGAGACTGTCACTAAATGACAAATGAAAACGTCCTTTACCTCAAAACTTTAAAAAAGTAAACACTATACAGTGTAAGTGTAGCATGCACTCATACTATTTTTTTTGTGCAGTGGCGTTACTTTGAATAAATGCGATTTACTATACATTAAACAGCAAATCCAATGTATGAAAGATGAAGCTAAACATGATGCCGTACCTTTATCCCACGTAGATGCTATGACATGATATAAGCAGCACAGATGGATAAGAGATGTTATGGTGATGATGAATGGATGACATTTATTTATGTTGACATTGCACAGATATTGATGTTTCTCAATGTTTCGCTCTGTTCTACTTGCACACATAAATATTTTAATTAATTACTATAATTAATATAATGCATTTTGCACATAGCATGTTATGATGTGTTTTATGTTTGGTAAAATATTTTCTATTTGCATCTTTAGTGATTTTTCAAGTAATTATAATGTCTTGTGCCAATATAGATTTAGAAGTTTTTGTAGAAAAAGTACAAGTGGATTTAGCTGGTTTTGATGGAAAAGAAAATCTACCGTATTAAAAGTTTAGGAAATTTATCTTAATACCTCATTAAAAAGAATTGCCTAATTGACATTTCTGAAAAAAAGCTATTTTATTTATGTTGATAAAAAATGCTCATTTACAAGAAAATACGTCTGATGGATTTAAAGGAGTTTGCATCTGAACTCTTCAATTATGTTGTCAAGTCTTTAGTTTTGACACCATACTGAATTTTTTTGGGAAAAATCCCAGCTTTTTGAAGAACAATAAAACAGTAAAACAAAAAACAATAAAAAACAGTATTAGATATACTACAATAGTATTACGTATTAACAGCATTATTTTTAATTCAGATTATTTTCTAATTGTCTAGTTTTAAATATGTTTAATTTACATTTTTACAAAAATAATAATGCAGCATTGGATATTGTAATAATTCATCAAATATTATTAAAATGTCAATAATCAATCAATCAATCAATCAATCAATCAATCAATCAATCAATCAATCAATCAATCAATCAATCAGTTCTCTTTTTATTTAGATTTAAATTCATTTTAACTTTGAATATTAAAAGTTTAATGTTAACATTCTGTTTACGTTATTGAAAAAATGTTTGTTAGTAACCAAAAAAATGTTCTGAGAGCATAACCTGGTTTCAACTGAAAGCAATATTTACATATTATAGAGCCATAAAACAACATAAAATATTAAATTAATGAATCTTATGGGGCGACGCAGTGGCGCAGTAGGTAGTGCTATTGCCTCACAGCAAGAAGGTCGATGGGTCGCTGGTTTGAGCCGTTTCTGTGTGGAGTTTGCATGTTCTCCCTGTGATTGTGTGGGTTTCCTCCGGGTGCTCTGGTTTCCCCCACAGTCCAAAGACATGCGGTACAGGTGAATTGGGTAGACTGAATTGTCCGTAGTGTATGAGTGTGTGTGTGTGTGTGAATGAGTATGTTTGTAAAAACGTGCTGGATAACTTGACGGTTCATTCCGCTGTGGCAACCCCAGATTAATAAAGGGACTAAGCCGAAAAGAAAATGAATGAATGAATAAATGAATCTTAAAAGGCAATTTTAACATTAACAATAATATACACATACTTCAATTTTAATTCTAAACTGTTTTTTATGTGTATAAATGTGTGTCGTGTTATTAACCACATTCCCTGGAGAGTTTCTGTTGTGACAGGAGCGGACATAAATCAGAGTACTAATAGTCTGCTTAATTTAGTAATTATTTTGCAATTAACATACTGAGCATCAGCCAAATGGTATCTTACTCTTTTGTTTTAACCTTCTAAAAACAACATATGAAAATAAACAAACCGGCATAAGGAAGCGTGTCCTATACTGTATGTAGTTTGATGGATTTGAGAAAGCAGAAGTTCAACGATCTGGATGCATCATTGGAAGTATGATACTTTTTTTTAGAGCGAAGATCTAAGAGTCTCCTGTCTTCTCATTCATGTCTCATTAACTTCAGTTTTTCTTGTGGTAATCGTGTTCCAATTAGTTGCTGTATCCCAAAATACACACAGTTGTACCCAAGAGGAGCGTTTGACTGGCATGAGCCCCAGAGCAGAGCCCAACCAGGCAACACCATGAACAAGTGTGACAAGTGTTACTTCCAACTGCTAAAGAAACAGAGAACCACTGAGAGCTATGAATCACTGCCTGTGAACACCAATGACTCTGAATAAGGCTGTTCAATTTTAACTTCCATTAAAAAAAGACAGGAATCTAATTTGTTACAGAAATAATTAATCAGAGGGATTTTGGAGAAATAATTAGATTGCTGTTAAAAAAATAATTAGGATAGTAATTAAAACTACAGTTAATTTTGCTACAGCATTTGTAGGTGTTTTGTTTGGTTTTGTTGACTGAGAAATGACTTCATTCACTTAAGGCTTTATTTGAAACCTGTGTAGTCAGTGCCTTCATCCTAACTTCCCTACAATATAGTAAAACAACATGTGAGCCGGATAGTAAGTATTCAAAAATAGTATGCTAGTACCCGGATGTACTACTACTTCCAGCAAGATTCTGAAGTGTGCACCTGATGGATGTTACATTATCCCATAATGAGAGAATTCATGAATGAGAGTATGGCTGCACAATATATCGTTTCAGCATCAATATTGCAATGTGTATTTCCGCACATAGACACATCGCAGGATATGCAATGTTGAGTTGGGATTATAGTTGATCAGCACAACAGTTGAGAAAACTGTACATGAAATTTGTGTGACAAGTGTTACTTCCAACTGCTAAAGAAACAGAACCACTAAGAGCTATGAATCACTGCCTCTGAACACTCTTGACTTCAATTATAAGGCTGTACAATTTTAATTTTGATTTAAAAAAGACAAGGATCTAATTTGTTACACAAATAAACAATCAAAAGGATTTTGGAATTATAATTGGTTGTTATCACATCATAAAAAAACAGGATAGTAAATTAATAATACAATTAATTTTATCAAATGGTAGCCACCAATTTTTTGGTGTTTTGTTTGGTTTTGTTGACTGAGAAATTACTTCATTCACTTAAGGCTTTTTTTGAAGTCTGTGTAGTCAGTGCCTGCATCCAAATTTGCATACTTATCTACAATATAGTACATTAAAAATAATATGCGAGCCAAGTAGTATGTAAAAACAGTATGCTAGTATGCAGATGAATTACTACTTCCAGTGAGATTCTGAAGTGCGCATCCAATGAACACTACATTATCCTATAATGCCATATGAGATCATTCATAAATGGAAGTAGGGCTACACAATATATCATTTTAGCATCAATATCACAATGAATAATTTTACTTAATTACTAATATAATGTTGATTATACAGTGTTATTTTACATATCATGATTCAATTTCTGTACCTGAATCTTGTATGACTTTCGGGAAGCCACAAAGCACTTTTTCTTTTACTTTGCTGTGTTGTAATTATTCTTGCTTGCAATTGATTTATCATTTTTTATGAGTCACACACTTACAAAATCAACCCAATCTAAATTCTGGATTTTTTTTTAAATAGAGCTATTCCAGCCATCTAGAAAAAGATTTATATTGCAATATATATTGCAGAAGAACAAAATATTGCAATGTCCAATTTTTCCAATACCATGCAGCCCTAAATGGAAGTATAGCATTGCAACTGACATGGGTAGGTCACATGATAATGTCAAAAAGTGGATGTAGTACATCTATTTACTATATGGTGCATTTTTGAATAGTAGGTGATTTCAGACACAACTAGTGTTGTTTTGTTTTGTTATGAGGGAATTATTTTACTTGATGTTATTTTAGATCTGTGTAATGTGTATTTATTTGAATCATTAAAATGAAATTGACTGTTCTGTTAACATAATTAATTTCTGTTAGTTTCGAAAGGCAACTTACAACAGCAGAAAATGTTTTGAATTCCATGAATGTTTACCTGAAGTGCTGTGCACACGCACATCACAAGCAAGCTACACCACAGGTTTAAAAGAAAGCAAAACCAGACCACCTACAGTGTAAGAGTTTGCACACAGCATTCATGTATTGTAAACACTATGCGACAAAGGACTGAGTGTAAAAACACTATCATGAGGCCCATGCTTGCTTGTGTGCGAAAACCGAACGATAGAACAAAACAGAGCACCGCCTCTCACTTTAAAATCCACGATGCATACCAACCGTATATTTATTTCATTCACTTGAAACATTTCTCAGTTTAATAATCTCACAAGGCCATGTTGTTATTCAGATTTTAATTAACAGTTCAGCTTTAGTTGAAAGATGAGCAAGGACATGCTGAAAAATGTTAGAGACTGAACAAAACTTTAAACCCACCAATATACTGTACAGTGTAATTTGGCTCTTTTCCTTGTTCATGGTTCAGTGTGTAAACACATTCTGGTAATGAATATGCATTAATGCACATTGCAGTTTTATTGGATTTTGTAATTACATCTTAAGCATTCAGGGAAAAAATGGTGTACATGCAATGAATAAAAACTGTGAAGCATATTAATTAAAAAGATAATTAATGGCTTGCAAGTTCTTCATCATGAGATAATAATTACATACTATAATATGATGTTGACATATCCTGTGAAGTGTTCTCTCATTCCCTCAAATATGATTCCTCTTTTTTTTCTCTTCTAGGATCACATTTTGTCATCTTCCATTTCAAAGTAAATGGCTTTACGTGGGGACGGAGCGTGGGAATACACACATAGTGAACATTGAATCCTTCATTTTGTCTGGATATGTCATCATGTGGAACAAGGCCATTGAACTGTGAGTACAAGCTGTTTTGTTTTATATAATCATCTACCTAACATGAAAGTTTTGCTTTATGGAAAAAAAATCTATCTAAAAGTTTAGCTAACATGACTAATAGGAGCTAATCAATATAAAGCCTGAGTGCCCACGCTTGCAAAAATATGTGTATCTATTAAAGATGGTGATGATGATGATGTGATACTCTGTCATCTGGAATATGAGACGATTATAAATGCAATTATCAAAATAAATCTGCAGTTTCAGGGAGGAATATTGGAGGTTTAGCACAGTTATACTCCTATGGGAATAATCTACCCCCAACATAAAAACTCTGTCATGATTTAATCAACGTCATGTTAGGGCTGGGTGATAAATTGAAATGAAATTAAAATCGTGATTTAGCAAAAGCTGTGATTTTCATGCACATGAGAAGCATAGTTCTAGCATCAGATGTAAATCCAAAGTAGTAAATCTGAAGGCCAGAGGGCGCTCTCAAATGGACACTTCAAATATACCATGAAGAAGAACTGCAGAAAATCTCTATAGTTGTTGAATAAAAAGAATATAACAATATGACTATATACACACACAAGGGCTGATTGTCATATCAGCTCTAATATTTTCACCATCTTGTTTTTTTTTTCATCATCTGATTAGGAATAGATAAGCAGTTTCTTTTCCATCATCTGATTAGGAATAGATAAGCAGTTACTTTCGAATACCATTATATAGGAACATGGCTGAAAACAAGGAAAAACTGAGACAAGAACGACTAACATGAACAACCAACAGCAAACAGCAACATACAATGACTGACAATGAACAACTGAAACGCTGGGGTTAATACACAGAGGGAATACAATAGGGCTAACAAGATAAGATAACAAACTAAATGCTCTTACAACAGGAAGGAGACAATCAGTCACTGTGGCAAAGGAACAAGGGACTAAATGCAGGAAGTGAACACATAACAATGGAGAACAAAGCACAATACAAAAGTCTGAAACATTGACATTGAGAAATGTGACACTGCTGGATTACCAATATTGATTCATCATTTTCATTCAATACCTACATTGATTCTTAAATTCTTTTAATTATTTAATCTTAAGGTCTGTCTTTTCTCGTATGTTTTATTTATATTTTTGTTTATTTATAAAAAATCAGTTTTAGTGTACCTGCGGTTAGTAATCATAAAAAGCAATGTAATTGGAGACTTTAAGTATGAAACAATGTGTCTGATTTAAAAATTTACCTCAAAATACAAACAATAAACATGGCTTTTACAGACTTTTAATCAGATTAGAGGTGTCTACAAGTAGCTTAGCTAGCTTGAAGATTGAAGATTAGACAGAGTGAGTCAATTAATTTTTATTTTTCACTTGGCACATGATAGTGAAGTGAACTGAATAGTGTATTCATACAATTTAAGTTTATTGTTTGATATGTTTAATAATTAAAGACTGTTCAGAAATTTGTTGCTCATTTTTTGCCTCATCACCATTTAATGACAAATGTTCCAGGAAAACTGAAATTGTTTGGTGGACATCGGTCACTGTAACTTTTATTTCCTGGTTTTGTTTTGGGAATTATTCACTTACAAATTAAGCACTGGCCATAAACTTTTATTCACTTTTTAGCATTTGCACCACTTTCAGGGCTTAATTTGTGCTGGAACATGCCTGATCCGGAGCACCTCTGAAATCTAATCCAGCACCTCATATTACCAATCTCCCTCCTCAACCACCCTCCGCCCCCGTCCGCTGTTCACTTTCACTTTCTTCCGCGACTCCCCAACCCTCTTCACTTTCACCCCTTCGTCAATGCCTCGCATTCCCTAACCAAGTCCCCTTCCCCTTCCACCCCCAACCTGCTCTCCACTTTCGTGCACAACACCACATCCTTGAGTAAAATGCCGAATCTGTTACCCCTATCTGTTCCAGGACATCGTAATTCACAAATCCATGCACAAACAAACAAATAAACAAACAAACAAACAAACTATTAAATAATTAATTAATAAATGAGAAGGACCTGACATATGTTGTGATAATCATTGATACTGTCATTATGCATGTTATTGATTAGTTTTTGGCTATATTTCTCAGCCATATAATAATGAGCAAAACTTTGCAAACTGGAATAGAATGATCATAATGTGAAAAATAGTCAATTGAAAAGTCACATTGCAAGGTCATCTTTTATTTACATATTTAAAAAATGTTTTATAATTATAACTTTCAGACTTATACAAGTCAAAGTTGTTCAGTAAAAACTTGGTATTTTTAACTATTATTACTTTATTGAATTCTGGATGCAGACTCAAATACACATCCATATTTATACAGACACAAATCCAGATATGGTGTCTTTGTATTTGTCTGTAATCATGATGATAATAAAATTATGCCAAATATGTTTACATAACGGCGACACGGTGGCTCAGTGGGTAGCACTGTCACCTCACAGCAAGGAGGTTTGCTGGTTTGTGCCCTGGCTGGGTCATTTGGCATTTCTGTGTGGCGTTTGCATGTTCTCCCAGTGTTCGCGTGGGTTTTCTCTGGGTTCTCCGAGTTACCCCATAGTCCAAAGACATGCTCTATAGGTGAATTGAATAAGATAAATTGGCCGTAGTGTATGTATGAGAATGTAAGCGTATATGGGTGCTTTCTGGGTTGTGGCTGGAAGTGCATCCGCTGTGTAAAACATATGCTGGATAAGTTGGTGGTTCATTCTGCTGTGGCAACCTCCGATTAATAAAGGAACTAAACTGAAAAGAAAATGAATGAATGAATGAATGAATGAATAAATGAATGGTTATTAACATAACATGTTAATTAGCCTAGGAAATGCAGTTACATGCTTCTTAAAATGTAGGGTTTTGTAATGTCTGTTTGATGTCTTTTTCATTTTCTCAAGTTTCATACACATTAAAATTGTTATTAATTATATTAAATAATGACCACATTATGAAATTTATAAAATTTTACTGTTTTTATTAATATGTTTAACAATCAATATGAAATCAAGACCAAACGAATTCTCAGATCCACAAAAATAAATGGTGTTCACAGATCTTTCACAAATTCAACACTAACATCAAATGTAAACCGCATTTCAACTGAAGAATGAATAAGTCATCACATTTTAAACTTCTTGAACCCTTGAGGATCCATTTGATCTGTCAGTTTACAAATGCACTCTGAGAAACACACAAACAGTTACTGGTTTTGTGTACATCTATGGCTCTTTTTACTGTGTAAGTCAACACCAGAAGCTCTCTCCCATGAGTGATAACCTGACAAACAAATATTTTGTGAGTGTCAATCAAGTCTCCTTCTGCAAAAGTGGCTCATCTCGCTTCCCTGCTAATAAACATTACCATTAGTAGTCAGTAAATGTGGATAAATTTTTGAAGCACATGTAGATCCCCATTGCCTACTTGCAGCCCACTACAGATGCTTTCCCCACAATCTCCTCACCTCCTCAAGGATCTCAGTGGCACGTTGAGTGTGCGCTAGTATATCTCTATATTTGTTTAAATGAGAGAACTTGATTCTAGTGTTTGATTATGCAGAGGGGCTTTTTAAAGGTGCTTGATGGTAAAATGCATCATTTTATAGATGTTTTATATACTTCTGCGCAGAAGTGGTTTAATTATAGGAATTAGTGCATGTAGCTGTATGGTGGTTACGTAAAAGGAGTATGCATTCTGGGTTAAGCAACGAGGGGTTGCATTTGATTAAAGGGCTTTGTTGGTATGGTAAAATGCCTGTAATCATTTGGTATATTCATATGATTTTTACTGTATGTGATGAAGTATGTGAGTGGTGCAGAGTGAAAGGATAGTAAAGAGCAGTGTTATGTGTTTTAGCCTGGAGCAAATAGTGTTTCTTTCTTTTTTTTTAAAGCATTGGTGTTTTCTCTCACCAACACTAATCCAGTATAAGCATAACACATCAGCAACCCATTATACATGCAGTTGTAATTGACTGCTAGTGGCCAGAAATATGGAAATATGAACTATCAGATAAAATATATGTAGTATGAATGTATTCATTATTCAGCTATTACAAGAAAACATATTTCTACCATGTTAAAAATCTAAATTATAAAAAAGTAGTTACTATTAACAAAAAGAAGTGTTTAGCTCTTTTAAAAGACCTTTATCTGACATTTTTGACACCCCTGCCTCCTTTAGATTAAAAGGAAATAATAATAATTAAGGTATAAACTCAGTGGTGAAACAGTGTCTTTATTTCCTTTTTTAGCAATCTAACAGATCAACGCACCAAGGAAAAAAAAATGTTTATCTTCATCTGTTTTGTAACGCAAGAGCATTAAGCAAACAAAATTGTTAAAAAAATAAATGCTAGAAATGTGCAAGAAAAAACTTTATATGTCACTTTTTTCAGCTTTAGTTCTTCCAGGTTAAGCATTCACTCAGTTCTGGCTATATTTTATAAGAAAATGCTGTATTGTGAGATATTCAAGGAATGTCATGAAAAAAGTAGAATTTCGAGTTATATTCATTCCCATGTTCCTATGTTTGATTATTTTGTGCATCATTTATTTAAATTCAATATTATTTATTCAATATTATGTATTGTATTTATTATATTATATTTATTTATATTGTATATATGATAAAATTAGTTCCTGAAACGGTAAATAAATATAAAATTTCAAAATAAATAAATATATATATGAATATATATAAATGAATAATGTATAAAGATTAATCTAATGTATATGCACATTTTTTTGATTATATAGCTTCCAATAGAAAATTTTGGTATAAATCAGAGATCTGTGAGGTGTGTACTCATTTATGCTGAGCACTATATACAGTGCTCAGCACATGAGTACACCCCTCACAAATCTCTCATTTAAATTAATATTTCCTATTGGAAGCTTTATAGCATTGTATTTGTGCATATACATCAGATTAATCAGTACTGAACATAAAAATGGAGATAATCAAACAAAATAACTTAAGATAACAGTCCAACATA